TGATAATATTTGATACACTTGAGTTTTGAGATGATTTATATGAGATATGTTATGTTTGAAAAATGAAAAAATTTTCGAAAATTTACGTCGTTACATTAGATAGGGCTCAAACCAAAAAAATAGGGTTTGGGCTCTGTTTGCGTACGCCCAGCGTACTCCAGGTATGCCTTGTACGTCCAACGTATTAGACTAAGCCCAAAACCTTCTTAACTTCAAACGGTCATAACTTCTTCGTTCCAAATCCGTTTCGACGATCTTTATATCCACGAAAAGGTATTGAAGATCCCCCACAATATTATGTAGATATCTTGGACTAAAACTTCCCGAACAAAAATTCATATTTCATGAAAGAAGTCTGAAACAACACTTTTCCCGTTTTACCCTTTGACTCCAACACAAACCAAACTCTTGGATCCCGTAATCTACATTACCCACATCCAAATTGGTCTAAATCTGTTTTTCCCAAAGCCCGAAGCCTTATGATACTTGATCTTCGGGTCACGGCCCTAAATTATGAAAAAACTCGAAACAGGGTGTTACAAAATGTATAACCTTCACCTAAAAAGTTCTCGTTGTTTCTATTTCATTTTTTTTTCTTTTGCAAACGCACTTTCAAGAAATAACACATCAAAATTGACGACATTTTTCTTTTGGCTCTACATATACAACCTTGAGACAATTCTTCATCATCTCTAAATACCATAAACTTTTGTATTAGCTCCTATGCACAACAAATTTCTTATGGAATTTTAAGAAAATATAAGGAAAAAAGATGTGGAAAGAAGAAAGAAAACCTATTTGAAACTTTTTCATGCTCATGTACTCTAGATAACCAAAATGTATAAGGAAAAAATATGTGGAAAAAAGAAAACAAACCTATTTGAAACTTCTTCATGCTCACGCACTATAGATAACGAAAATGAAATGAAAAGATAAAGCAAAATGAAAAGAGGAGAGAAGCAAGTGTTTCTTATATAGGCAAAATATTCAAATTAAATAATCATTTAAGTAGCATAAAGTGAAGAGTTTAGGAGTTTCAAATGAACATGGTTCAAGAAAATTACATATTTTGAACCATATTCATTTGAATGGCCTCCTTTATAAGATATATATATATATATATATATATATATATTATATATATATATATATATATATATATGCTTAGGTTATTCTATTCAAACTAAGTATTGTGTTATTGTATGCATAATTGTGGGTCAATCATTTTACTTAATTTTGGAAAGTGAATAATACATATTATTAAATTAAATATAATAAAAAAAATACTATCTACTTTCATTCTAAGGGTATTTTAGTCAATTAACATAAATTTAAAAAAGGAAAATTGCATATTTTAAGGAAAATAGATTCTATAATTTTAAAAATCTGATTGTATGTATGATAATCGAAAATTCTGACGGAATATTTTTATCAATATATTGAAAAATAACAAATATGATTAAACCATACAAGAATACACATTCGGACATAATATATATTTTGATTTAATGAACTTCTTGAAGAATAACAAAATTTTGGATACAAGTTAAAAAAATTTCATTACATTCTTAGAAAAGAAAAAATATATATATACTATTCTATGAGAATGTTACACTTATTAATAACAAAAAAACACAATATATAAATCATTCTACCAGAATATACTATTACATTTATTTTTTTTCATTATATTGTATATTATTCTGGTAGAATAATCCATTCTTTTTGGAAGATCAGTGGTCATTGTTCATCTTCATTCCATACAATGTTCATCTTTAAGATTTTATTCTGACAGAATCAGAATTCCCCTGTTCAGATGACAGGGATCCTGATAATTCCACATCTCTTGAGTTGGGAAGCAGAGCCCTTAAGCTGTAAAAGGTTCCATATAAACGAGTATTATGTTACTAATTTACTACTCATTTTGAGGATCTTTTGTTATTGTGATTTGGTTATCCAGAAATATCAGTTTATAATCTTGGAATTTATTAATTCCATACCTGTTAATGTTAAGGGCATTAGCTCCACCTTCCGGTTGATCATCAATCGATATATCTTGTGATATGAATTTTGCCTTTTTGATGTCACCAACAATCTTTACAGTTGCTGTATATCCACAATGTCTTACAAATACAGTACCCAGGGAGGTGGTGTCCTGTAATTTGTAAATAGTAAAAGTTGGCTATATTTATTTAGATTCCATAGCTAGCAGAAGAATGAGTTCAGGCATACTTACATGGATTACTGCACTCTCATCTGTTATTATTCCTTTGAGTAAATTTGTTATAGCAACTTCATCAGAAGACATGGTAGGAGATCCAACACCAACTACCTTCACTTCTGACTTTGAGCTTGCATCACGCCTCACTGTAATAAACAAGTCCCCCACACGATCCTCACATACTATTGATCCTGGAGAACAGTTTGATGTTGCAACAGAATGTATGACTTTGCGTATGGTTGAAACAGCTTTAAAGATAGAGACATAAACAAACAAGCTATGAAGCAAGAATGCCTTTCGATCACGAATCACCCTTTCTTCCTCAGTCTTGCAAGGAAGGTTGGCTAATATTGCAAACTCTGTGGCCCATGGTCTATGGTCATGTTGACCATTTTGCCCTTGGCCTCCACCATTGCCACCCCAGTTTTCATCTTCTGATGGAAGTGGCTGGAAGTTTGATTCTGAGTCCAAAATGGATGGAGGAACCAACCAAGTGTTCGCCCGAAAACCATATGGAAGATTACCAAACTGAAAAAAAAACATAGTGTCAGTTTCCAATTACACTCTTATAGCATCAATGTAGAAGTATTTCGGATAAGCAAACAAATATATATTACCTTATTATGTTCTAAGTAGGCTTTCATCAAGGAATCATATGCCTGCATAATTTCAACATAAATTTGAGTATTTTTCTCTTACACATTTCTTCCAGTTAATAAAAGAGAGAACATAGAGATGAAGCAGAAAAGGAACTAATATACTGACGTTAGCAAAAGCTTGGCTGAGCTGTTGAAGAAGATCCACCAGGGAATGAAGAAGCTGAATCGAGGTGAATCGAGATTAGTACCAGTTCCGATAACTCGATAGTAGTGGTGTCATCCGATTAGGGGGGATTGGACCTTGCAGCCGCTTCGTGCTTTCCTTAGCCTGCAATCGATCGACATCCATTGGACCTTGCAGCCGCTTCGTGCTTTCCTTCTCACCTTCATCGATGTACAAATACATGTGTCAACGCCCATGAAATCAGAAATCAAGAAATCGAACTTTCTTCCCCCTTCTTTCTTCATTCGAGCCCTAACTATGTGCGGGTGTGTGTGTCTCGTTACTCTTAAATAAGAATTGCAGAAGTACATGTAGAGGCGATAATGGCTTGGTATTTTTTTGAAGATGGCAAAGAGATGAAGGGAATAATAGTTGGTGTTCAGTCAAGATCCAAACTTTAGATCGTGGTGGCTGAAAGCTTTCGATCGAATCCTACGGGGGGGGGGGGGAGGGGGGGGGGGGGGTTTCAAAGTGACCTCGGTGGTAATTAAAAGGGGATGAATTAGGTTAAAATCAACTAGCATAATTATAGGAAAGTATTTGGGGAAGTTGTTTATAAAATTACCTAATTACCCTTATTATTTATTTATTTATTTATTTATATTTTAAATTTTGATTGGCTTACATTTATGCATACAATAACACAACAAATACTTTAAACAATTGAACCTAGCTCTCTCTATATATATATATAATATATATATATATATATCTATATATATATATATATATATATATATATATATATATATCTATATATATATATATCTATCTATATATATCTATATATATAAGAAGTGAATGTACCCTACAAGGTATATAAGTTTAGGTACTCAAACCTACCATACTATATTGTTTTTGTATCATATATGTAGTGTAATTATCCAAAGTTCTTAAAATCCAACTCCTAACTTAATTTACTTTCAAGATTTTTAGAAATGTTACTACTATATTTCTCTTACATCACATTTTTTTGTAGAACACCTACTAGACGTATAAAATATTACACCTAGCGAGAAGATGGGGAAGAAATTACAAGATAACAGCCATGGGCTTATTACACCAACTCTCTGATCTAAATTTACCCTTTCTTTCCACCAACTCTTAAAGCCAAAGAAAAGCAAAGGTCATGATATCAAACACAATGGAATTTATACAATGTGTATCGCTCTCAAACACTAAGTGGTTCCTGCTTCTCCAAATCGCCCAAACAAATAATTTTTTATGACCTTGAGAACACATTGTACCTTCTGGGGTAGCCTACACCCATTCACGCCATCATTCCAATTTTCCAGCAAGACAGTACCAAAAGGTTTCACATTCCACCAAATATGCAATTTAGCTTTGACCTCTATTGCAGTCGAACAAGAGACAAATAAGTGTTCTTCCGTCTCCTCATATGCATTACATGCAGGATAGAGAATCGACATGACAGTAACTCCTCTTCTCTCTAGATTACATCTGGCAGACAGCCTCCTGAGTCTAACCCTCCAAATAAGTAAATTGATTTTTGAAGTAATCAATTTGTCCCATTACGTCTCCACTTGATTTTGATGCAACAACTTCCCATCAAGTAATTTCTTAAGAGACAAAACCTTTTAACAGTCATCGCCATCAACATTCCAGTACCTAGAAGAAGTACCAGCCTGCCCTTTGAAAAGGTCATTAAGATCAATCTGAAGACAGCCCAAATTATAATTTATGTTGGCAATTCTTCCTCAAATAGTTCTTTTAAGGTTACAATTAATTTTAATTACAATTAATTTTATTATTTACCATCAAACTGTAACTAAAATAGTAACGTATGAATATATTTATTACAATTAATTTATTACTTAGCATATATTTGTCGATGGAATATTTCCTGGCCATATATAAATTATGAAATAATTCTAGATTTTGAAACCGGTAGACATATTTGGAAAAACCTTGAGATCCCATTGAGTGTGGATTCTTCATGTCTCACCGTTACTTTTTCTTGTGTAGCCTCCTCGCCTACTCATTGTCCTTGCATGGGATCTCCGCCGTGGACTACCAAGTAACTAACTACGACCCCAACACTCCCGGCGGCATCCGTTTCACCAATGAAATCGGAGTTCCCTACACAAAGCAAATAATGGGTACCATCAACGACTTCATATGGACCACCGTTTTCCAACAAAACAACCCCTCTGACAGAAAGCCTGTAGATTCCGTCAACCTTTACATTACAGAGATTGAAGGATACGAAGGAATCACATGGGGAAATAACAATATTAATCTTAGTTCTAGTTTTTTAGAAGGGTATCAAGGGGACGTGAAATGGGGATTCACGTCTCTTTTATATCATGAAATGACCCACGTGTTTCAATATAATGGCGAGGGTTAGACCCCCGAAGGATTGGTGGAAGGGGTTGCGGATTATACGAAATTAAGAGCGAATTATGTCTCATCGGATTTCGCAAAACCAGGTGATGGTGATAAATGGGACCAGGGGTATGATTTCACAGCCCGGTTTCTTGAGTATTGTGATGGGATTGTACCAGAGTTCGTGGCAAAGCTTAATGCAATGATGAAGTTTGCTTTCGATGTCAAGTATTTTGAAGACTTGACAGGAAAGCCTGTGGATCAACTATGGCAGGAGTACAAGGCTAAATATGGACATTGACGTTTTATATGGATTGGAATGTAGTGAAATAATTGAATTTGTTAATTGGACGCTAAACTTAAGCATTTCACAGAAAAGCTAATAGAAAGATGAACTCTAGGTGTAGATGGTAATGGTATACGTAAGTGTGTAAGTTGTAACCCTATATTAATAATTAATATGAGGCAATTGCACCTTTGTGACAAGAAATGTTTTCTTACATTTGCTAAGCTTTTTCTAACCATGTTTTGGTGCGACAACGAATGTATTGGTTATACTTGCTAAGCTTTTTCTCTATAAAGTTTTATTGTGATGCAAACCCCTAAAAGATATTGTTAAAATGTGCCTTTCTTGAAGGAAAAAAATCGGCCAGGCAAAAAGTCAGTCACTTCGCGAGATATTGGTTTAAAAACAATTCCGGATTTTTGACAAAATTTGTGAGGGCTTAGTTACATATAATGAAAGTAAATAAGTTTTGTCGCTAATCCGTTGTAACAATTTATCCATTTAGCAACAATTTAGCAATGGATTATTGTAGCTGGCAATTTAGCAATGGGTTATAATATTCATTACAATCCCCCTGTCTCAACAAGTACAATAGTATTTCTTTTACTTAATCGTTGCGTGCTATTTCGTCAGAAAATCAAATGTCTAGAATTTTTTTAATTTATATTTCGTTAAATACTCCGCTAAAGCTGATTCTAATAAATCTAGCGATGCAATATGGAAGGAACGTTAGATTCCTTTGCCAGATTCCTCAAAATCAATCATAGGTTGATGTTTTCACTTTCAGTCAAGCATTCACAAAATGTATATAATATTCAATGTCTTTTTTTTACCAACCTATACACATTTACACCGATGTACATCAGTAGATGTGTGAGAACTCCATGACTTGATGCAAAATTCTAAAGTATATGTATGTGAGAATATGCAAAATCCAACAAACCAGGACAAGTTCGACTTCACTTATAGTATGTAAGCTTTAGCATACATATTAAAAGTACTTAATTTGATTTTTACCAAGTTCCCTATCAAAACGCAAAAACAAAACAAATGAAATCTTTAAAAAAAAATTGAATATAAGCACCCCACATGTAATTCATTAATGAATGAATAACTTGTGATACACGCAATGTAATTAATTTGAAACATAAATTTTGAGTGTATGAACTACACACTCAAACACCAACATGAATAGGAAATCAAAGTAACCAACAACGTTAATAATTTAGATAACTTCGGTGAATTAGCTAACGGGTAGAATAAGTGAATATTTGAATTATTTTGCAAATAATAGGCGTTGAATTTATTGTTAGAGTTTTAGGGACAATTGACTTGAATGGATCGATCGTGATTGTATCACTTTCTGAAATCTGTAATTTATCCCTATTGCTTGGGGTATATAAATTCAGAATTGGAAGAGTCCAAAATTTTTGATTATGATCACATGTCTAATCAGAATTAAAAATACATAATACCTGTTGTGATGCACTTTTAGAGAGACAAAGAGATGTACATAATCAGTTTTTCAGTCATATGAAAGTTCTAAGTTTTGTATGCAACATCCAACTTCATTTTATACATGGTAAATGATGGTTATGAAGAGGAAATTGTCATGGGCTCTTCCTTTTGGACCCTGCTAAGGGGCTGCCCCTAAACCCCACCATTAGCACTACTGTGACATCCCCTATTTTTCAGAATCAATTTAAAATTTTTTTTTACGCTTTTAAGTGTAACACCCGAAGTTCAGAAGACCAAGAAAGGAAGGAAAAGTCCTAAATTCAAGAAGAACTCGTCGAGTCCAAGGAGGTACTCGACGAGTAGGAGCGGATTTTTGGGTCGTGGGTTAAGTGACCTACTCGGCGAGTTGGTCTGGGATTGGGAAACCCTAAATATGGGACTTGGTACCCTATTTAAGCATCTTATTCTCCCTCCCTTGGCCTCATTAACAGCCCCCATGGTCCAGAACCTATTCCACGAAACCCTAGAGTTCTTATTGAGTGTGTGAGTCATATTTGAGTGGTTTTGGGGTGCTCTTGAAGCCTAGAAGAAGAAGAAGGAGTTTAAAGGTTCAAGGAGAAGCTGTAGATCCAGGAATCTCGTCCCATTCTCATCATTTTCTGGTAATCAAGTTTTTATCTTGCCTTGTAGTTTCTTAGATCTCTTTAAGGTCACTTTTATGGGGTTTTTGTCCATGAAGTATGATGTATGAGTCATGGATGTCCCAAGTTGAGTATACTTCCAGATCTGGAGTCATTAAGAGTTGGAAAGGCATAAAGGTGCAAACTTTATGCCATTGGAGTCCCATGCAAACTCTATGGAGAATGTTATGGTCTCTTAAGCCCCAAAAGGCCATGCATGAAGGAAAGGAAGGAACTTTATGCGTCCAAACGATGTCCAATGCCTGGATCTAAGTTAGTATGTTGTAGTTTGGAGTATGAATGGCTTAGGACCAAGTTCTAAGGTCCCAAGGAACTAGTGTTTGAGCTAAACCCTTTAAGAAGAGGTATTAACGGGTAAAGCTGGAAGCTATACCCTTGAAAGGGCATTTTTGGGGTTTATGTGAAGTATGAGGCTTGGATTTGAAATGTAGGGGCTTAATCCATTAAGATAGCCCAAACAGATAGGGGAACTCGCCGAGTTCAGGTAAGGAATCGACGAGTTGAGTAGTGTTGTCCCGATTCTGGATGTGGAAGTGCTCGCCGAGCCTAAGGATGACTCGACGAGTTGACTCGGGTTATCACTAGTCTGAGTAGCATAGAACTCGACGAGTTGAAGGAGCAACTCGACGAGTTAGGTCAACTCGGAGCGTTGACTTTCACCGTTGACTTTGACCTTGACCAAGGTTGACCTAGTTTGACTTCTGAGGACATTTTAGGACTAAGTGCCATTTTGGTATTGGTAGCTCGGGGAGCCGGAGGAGCAGCACTTCGGGGAATTGCCAGCTAGCAGCCAGAAGAGTATGTCACAACTAGGAATTCTGATGCTTTGTAAAACCCTTAACATAGATAACATTATAGTTAAAACTTGAAAACATGTATGGTGCTTAGTCAATGACCACAAAATTCCATCAAATATTCTATACAAACATTCAAATAGTCAACAAAAGGTTGGAAACCCTAACAATCCCGGTTCAAGTCCATTTTGGACTAGGATTTTCTTATTGGGCCTAATAGGCCAATAAGCCTTCAATTTGACTATGTTGGGCTTAGAACCTTCAAAAGGACCATAAATCAATTCTTTTATGCACATTGGGCCGTGAACCCCCTCTAAAAGCCCAATGGGCCGAAAACCTACTTAATGGGCTCAAGGTTTCGAACAAAATCAAACAATGGCCCAAGAATAAACCACTTCCTTCCTCCTAAGCCCAAGAATTCGGCCCATGTAAAGGAAAAGAAGGAGGAATAAAAATAAAGGAGAATTGGAGGATTTTTGTGCACTTGCCACCTCTTTATTGCATGGTGGGTTTCCATGCAAGTCAACTCATTCCTTCTCTCCTCTCTTCTTCTTCTTCTCGGCCGATTCCCACCCTCTCCACCTCATTCTCTTTCAAAATATCTCAAGAATACTCTCTCAAGAACTCATCCTCCATCCATCAAAAATTTCGAGAATCACAAAAGCTCCAAGAAGATTCTTCCCTAATATCACCAATCCTTGGTAAGTTGTTGTTTTGATTCATACCTTAGCTTTTGATTTCCTCAAAAATCTCCCCATAACTCATGCAAAATTCGTGATTTTGCTTCTTAGAACACATTTAAGCCAAAGACCTCTCAAGAAACTTGTTAGGCCGAAAGACCTCATCATTTCTTCCATTTCTCTTCAAAACCGAACCCACAAACTCAAGGTGAGTTCATACCCCTCTATTTTCGGTTTTCATATGTTTTATGGGGGAGAATGCAAGTAAAATGTGAAGATCTATGTGTATTTGCATGATATGTGTGTTTTCTTGTGATTTTGTGATATATTTGTACTAAAAATGAAAGATATTTCGAGATCTATAGTTTAAGAAGGAAAATATGTGATTTAGTTCATATTGCACTCAACACGTCAAGATAAAATAATATACAAGCTTTAAAATAACAAACTACAACATCAAACTCATTTTTTGGCTATTTTTGTCAAATAAGTAAAAGATTGGGAAAAAGATGTCATTTACGGTTAAACAGTGGGTAGGAAAGTAAATAAACTTATTTCAAGGGTTAAAATGACCTTATTTGCCAAAAAGCATCTAAAATGCAAAGATTTTGGGTTTCGGGTAAAAAGTGTAAAAATTGTGAAAAAGGTGGACAAAAATGCAAATCTTTTAACTAAAGGGTTGAAACTTTCCAAAAATTTACTTTTGGGCTTAAACATTATTTAAATAAGTGTTTGGGTCAAAGATGTCAAGAAAAATAGTCCAAGGACCCAATATGTCATTCTTCTTATAAAAAGGACTAAAATTGCCAACTTTACCAAAATAAAGGGGCTGAATAGGTCAAATTAATGTTTTTGGTCAATCATATTAATAATAATAATAATTGGGTCAAAATATACAAAACTTTATAACTTATGGGTTTTGAATAGAAAAATAACTATTTTATAAATCTATAAACCGTTATAAAACAATTTCGTGATTTATACGACATATCGATTAAGCAACTCGCAACATTAATTCTATATAAACCAAGTAAACGTTCAAATGGTTGGGCTTGAGAGATTCTAATCATGCTTAATGGGCCTTCGTGACTCATTAACATGGCTTTTGGGCCCAACTTAAATAATACATGTTATTGGGCCTCCTGTGACCTAATTACATGCTTAATGGACCCTCAATGGTTTTTACATGCTATTGGGCCTCAGTGGCCCATTAGCATTACTAGTAAGGTCCAAATAAATTATATGCGAAGTGGGCCAACGCGCTTTTCGTATACTCGACGGCCTTAAATAACATACGAAATTAGTAGGGCCTAGTAGTCCTCTTCTCCTCGTCTGTTCGGCTTACCTTCTTTTCGTATAAAATAAAATTCGATCATTAATCA